ATGCGCATTCAGTGGAAGGAGACATTCCCTTCCTGGACTCTGCTGGCTCATCTACGCTCCAACCAATTCAGTCAAAATCGAAAAAATGAAGTTTCCTTGAAAAAGTCTAAGAAATAGTAGTAGTAGTAAGTCAAAAAGTGCACTTTTTCCATATATTTTGATTTATAGTGATCCCTATCTTTATCTCTATGTACAGATGACGAGGTGCCTACGGTGACTTCGTGAATTTCAACATTATATGTGGGCTCAGTCTTTTAGAGGTGCTCATAGGGGTAGAGTGTGCGTGTATGCGCGTGTATATGAGCACCGACGTTGTTAAAAAAAGAACTTCACGGTGGAGCATTGGCCATGGTAAAACCGTTAAAACGAAGAAAAGGGAATAGAAGTCTAATCGGGGCCCTAAAACTATAGCTGGCCAAACGGGCCGGGATAGTTGGGCCGGCCCGGTAGCACGGCCGGCACGGCACGGGCCTGGCACGGCACGGCACGTGCTAAACGGGCCGGGCCCGGCACGCGGCACGCCATGGGCCGTGCCTGGGCCTGAAGGGCGAGCACGCGGGCCGGCACGGCACGGCCCGATTAACTTTTTTATATTTTTTATGTATTCTAATATGGGCCAACAGGTAAAAATAGGCTAAAAAACGCTCAATGCGCAAAATAGGAGCTAGATTAGTGGGCCTGGTGTGCCGGTGGGCCGGCCCGATTAGCATACGGGCCGTGCCTGGGCTGCAGGCTGCAGCACGCGGGCTGGCACGGCACGGCCCGTATAATAATCGTGCCTAGGCGGGCCGGGCCGTACCAGGCACGATTAGGATGGGCCGTGCCGTGCCGGGCCGGGCCGGCCCGTTTGGCCAGCTATACCTAAAACCAGTCACAGCCACCGTCGCCGTGGACCCTCGGATCCGCAGGGCGCAGCCTTTCTCCCGTTTCACGCCGGAAGCAGAGCACCACCCAACACCGCATCATGTCGGGCGCGGCGGCGGCGGCGGCGGCGCGAGTGCTGCCGAAGGCAGTGACCTTCGTGACGGGCAACGCCAAGAAGCTGGAGGAAGTCCGCGCGATTCTCGGCTCCTCCGTCCCCTTCCAGTCCCTCAAACTCGACCGTAAGCTGAAGCTGGCTCCTCCTCTTTCTTTCACCAGCTCTACCTCCCCTCCATTCACGTACATACAAGGTAGCAGCATAGCAGTGAAAGGTTTAGTGCTAGACTAAGGATGCCTAGGACTTGCTGGTTGATGGGAGTGGCGAGCTTGCGTGGCCGTGGCTTCTTATGGTGCCGGAACCCTAGGATAAGTGGATACCCCTATTTGTCTTTGTTATTTGGATCATAAAAAATTGCTTTGTAGTTAGCTCACAACAAACATATAACGGTGGATTGGTTGTAGCTGAAAATTATGGATTAGGAATAGTTGCTTCGCAGCTTCGGTTACTGTCTCCTACTGTTTTGGCTTAATCGAACCATCCGTCTCCTACTGCTTCCTACTGTTTTAGCTTTGGGTGTCTTATACCCAAATTTAGGACACATGATGACATGTGCCCTTCTTGTTCCGCTTATTTTTCCTTCTTTAAATGGTGTTGATGTGCATCGATAATGTTTAGGGGAATAGCACGCTGACTTTCTATGCCAAAATTATGCAACAGTTTGGGGGTATGTTTGGATGGAACAGGTGGGAATGCAATAGGAGTTCCCAGTGGACTTGTGATTTATGTGATTCATATAGCCTGTAATTATTTATCTTTTGTATTCTGGTATTTGTACTGGTTGAGAGGTAGGAAGTCCAGACTTTTAATACTCACTCTGTAAACTAATATAAGGGCGTTTAGATCACTAAAGTAGTAATCTAAACGCTCTTGTATTAGTTTACGGAGGGAGTAATTGTGAAGATATCCCATTTGCATTCTGGGATTCTAGTTAAGGGTAGATGTTATGATTCCTAACAGTGACGAACCCTTTGATGGAATTGGAATCTGGACCCCCTACACTTGAATTAGGATTCTGATGCCCTACATATAATAATTCAGCTGGATATGGATTAAGCGTGCTCATTTTAAATAGGCAATACTGATATATCCAATTTCAAAATATGGTTCTGATGGAAATCATGCAAGTTCCAAGTATGTGATTTCAGTTTTGGGAAATGAGAAGTACGAGGTCGTAAAAAAAAGTAACACCGAACAACTTCTTGTTGTTTTTTTATTAATGGGTATTATTCTATGTTAAATTTCACAGTGCCTGAGTTGCAAGGTGAGCCAGAGGACATATCTAAAGAGAAGGCCCGAATGGCTGCATCTCAGGTACCCCTATCTTTTTCTAATACTAGAATAATTATGCAGAGAATTTTAATTTAAATTGTTTGAACTCTTGTTAATGAATCTGCATTCCTCTTTGAGTAGGTGAATGGCCCTGTACTTGTTGAGGACACTTGTCTATGTTTCAATGCGCTCAAAGGTTTGCCAGGTAACTGATTTGCATTATTCTTTCTTTTCACTTCCTAAATGAATTCATTGTGCTCTGTATGATATAATTTGCTTTCTGCTGCAGGGCCCTATATGTAAGTCACTATAACATATTTTCTTATTACCAAGTTACAGATAATAAACATCCTTCACCACTATACCTTATTGAGAAAATGCTTTCAGATATCCTGTCTAACTAATCTCTTTGTTCCCTATCTGGATGTTTTACACACATGAATGTACAGAAAATGGTTTCTAGAGAAGATTGGGCATGAAGGTAATATGGCTACTCAATTCTTGTTTCATTCTTTCTAATGTTTGACTTGCTGAACTCATGCATATTATTTCTGCTATTATAGGTTTGAACAATTTGTTAATAGCTTATGAAGACAAATCAGCTTTTGCTATGTGCATCTTTTCACTTGCTCTTGGACCAGAGGAGGAACCGATCACATTTGTTGGAAAAACAGCAGTAAGATGTCACTTCTTGGAATTTTCGTCTGAAGTATGACTGTATATGCCATACCCGTAAGAATTATAACACTTTACAATGAGAGTGAGCATATATGTCAGTATGCCTACATCCAGAACTGCTGTATACCTTGGAACTTATATTTTCTGATGTATTTTGTTTATGAGTGAGTTGTTAGATTATTTTTCTTCATGTGTACCTTGGTTAAAGAAGCCCATCATAGCACTTTGATCTGTTCTGGTGCGTTATTTCAGCAAGGACAGTAAAATCGGACGCCATGTTGTTAGTAAGAAAAATGAGAGCGAACGTGTTTGAGGTTTCCTTCTCCATGTGCAGGGGAAAATTGTACCTGCCAGAGGCCCTGCTGATTTTGGATGGGACCCTGTATTCCAACCAGATGGATTTGAACAAACGTGAGTTTGATGATGATTTCCATTGCTTTCACGCATCCCTTGCGACTATGTACTGACAGGTGGGTATGTAATACAGGTATGCTGAGATGCCCAAGTCAGAAAAGAATAAAATATCTCATAGGGCGAGAGCTCTTGCACTGGTGAAAGATCATTTTGCTTCTGCCAATTATGAAGTTCAGAGTGATGGATTGGCTTAAAATTCGTTTTCCAATTGAACAAAATGTAATGGAATATGAGCAAAAGATTTTCATGTTACGGAATCTTCCAAGCTGTCTGTTTCTCCTGCAACTTTTGGTGACTGTTAATTTTTTTTTTGAAACGAGGCAAAAGACTTGCCATTTTCATTGATTAAGAAGAAGAGAGTTGCCCGGTTAATTGTGGAAAACCGGGCTAAAACCGATACAACACAACCCACATGACATGGGAACCACCGGGCAACCTGGCCATCGACATGGAAAGAAAGCCACGACGGCACATGCCAGCAGGTGGCCATACGCCCAAGCAACCGACAGCTCCGACTTTGACGACGAGCAACGCAAGGGAAATAAACAG